TTAAAAAAAAAAAAAAAAAAAAAAAAAAAAAAAAGCCAGGCATGGTGGAGCACGCCTGTAGTTCCAGCTGCTTGGAAGGCTGAGGCAGAAGAATCACCTGAACCCAGCAGGTCGATTTGCAGTGGCTATGAACGTGCTGCTGCACTCCATCTGGGCAAAAAAAAAAAAATTACCAGCTACACAGTAAAGTCATTTTTAACAACAGCGTTATATAAGACAGTCTATCTTGAGTCCCGTTTTGAAATGATGACGTTGAGCTTCTGGTTTATCTCCAAATGAAAAAAACATGTTTGTTTAGAAAGCAGCTGTTTTCTCACAGAAATGTGAAAGAAGTTTGCCTGACTGCTTAACAAGTGACTGAATCGGAGCCGAGTTCCTCATGGACATCAACAGTAGTAACGACGGTGCGCACTTCATGCCGGCCTAGTTGCAGGCACAGTGAATTCTGTGCCCTTTGCATGCTTTGACTCATGTTTATGGCAACATCCCTGTGAGAGAGCGATGGTCAACCCAGTTAGCCTGCCCCAGGGCACACAGAGACCTGATCCCTGGAGCTGGGCTTCTTACTTTCTCTGCTGCCTCTCATGTTCCTTTAGGAATCTTCTAGAATCAAGGGAGGAAAATGGACCAAAGGCTTATTGGCTCATTGAAGATGAGAGTGGCTAAAGTGCATACTGGCTTAACAGTGTTCTAAAAACAACTCGCTTCTGGCATGCCAGGCCAGGTCGGAGCAGGTAGAAACCCAACACTGTGGCTGGGGTGGTGGGGCCTTGATTCCTGGAGAGGCGGCCAGCTGGGCCTGGGCACCTCACTGCCTGTGGGGAAAGCACGTCTCCATAGAGTTTAAAAATACCCTGGCAGAGACTGAGCATAGCTCACGTCTGTAATTCCGACTTCTTAGGAAGCTGAGGTGGGAAGATCACTTGAACCCAGGAGTTCATGACCAGATTGGGAAACATAGTGAGACCCCGTCTCTACCCCCCCCAAAAAAAATTAGCTGGAAATGGTGGCACACGCGACTATAGTCCCTGCTACTTAGGAGGCTGAAGCTGGAGGATCGCTTGAGCCCAGGAGTTCAAAGCTGCCGTTGAGCTGTGATCGCTCCACTGTACTCCAGCCTGGGTAACAGAGGGGATACCATGTCTCCGGAAAAAAAAAGTCAGTAGAAAGCACAAAGCCAGAAGTACCCACCCCTGCTCCTTTAAGAGAAGGAATCGGCAAATGAGGCCCCTTCTTTTCAAATCCAGCTGCCGCTGGGACACAGCGGGTGAGCACCACAGACAGGCTGTGACATTCAGAGCAGGGTTTCTCACCCTCAGCACTGGGACCACCTAGTTAAGAGGGCTGTCCTGTGCACTGCCGGAGACTTAGCAGCATACCTGGCCACCACGCCTGACCACCACCATTTGTATGCCAGCACACATGAGCCTCTGCTTATCTCCACCCACGGCCAGGTGTCTCCTGGGGACAGCATTGCGCCCAGTGGAGAACCACGGGTCTGGGGAGACACTTTCACGTTCTGACAGACAGAAATTGCAGCAGACTGGGAGACGTGAGCGGGCAGGTGTGCAGAACGAGGCGAGGGCCGCTTGGTCCTGCTGGCCAGGCCCCCCCCGACCCATCCGGCACAGGCGCCCGCCCGTTGAGCCTCCGCCCACCGCGGCCTGAGAAGCCCTGCTGTCCTGAGCAAGAGCCCCACCCCCGCCCTCGCCCTCGCCCTGCCCCCATCACAGATTGCAGGTGGTTCCTGGCCACAGTGAGGACCAGGAGATGCTATTCACGAAGGGAATGAGAGGTGTTAGAATGGAGCACTCATCCAAAAGTAACGCGAGTCAGACCTCAGTTTTTGTCTGGTGCTTTTTACTTTCCCGAGCATGAGAGCTGCCCCGTCATCTCATCAGCTCCTTCCGGTAAGGTATTGGGAAAGCCTGGGTGTCTCCTTACCCCCACTTGGCAGTGGACCTGCTCCTGCTGCTCTCGGTGGCGCCTGGGGTCTGGCGCGCGGGCTCCCAAACAGGAGCCGGTGCTTCCCTCCCCAGGGGCGACCTCGGGCTGCTTAGGGGCTCAGGAGGCTGACCTCCACACCATCACCCAGCGCATCCAGCTGTTAAATTGTCTCGATGTGGTAGCTGTGGTGTATTGATAAGAATTTGCAGACCCATGTCCACATCTCCTAATGCAAATAAACCCCTCCCACCCCCAAAACAGGTAGCTTGCAGAACATAGTGCTAAGTCTAGACTAGAAACAAAGAAATCAAGCTGCAGCTCCCCGTTTGTATTACTGGGATTATGGCATAAGATTTCAGAGTCAAAAGACTGGCACAATTTTTCGAGTTAGAAGACCAGAATTGGCCACGATGTGGTGACCATCTTATTAAATAAGGTGAATAAATGGTTCTTCTGTTTTTCCTTTGTTTTTTTTTCGAGTTGGAGTCTCACTCCATCGCCCAGATTGGAGTGCAGTGGCCGCTCCCGGCCACCGCATCCTCGACCTGCTGGCCTCCGGCGATCCTTCCGCCTCAACCTTCCAAGTAGCTGGAACTACAGACATGTGCTACCACACCCGGCTGATTTTTGATTTATTGTAGAGATGAGGTATCGCCAAGTTGCCCAGGCGGGTCTCGAACCCTCAGGCTCAGGCAGTCCACTCACCTCAGCCTCCCAAGGCGCGGGATTACAGGCTGAGCCACCGAGCCCGGCTTCTTTTTTTATATAAATTGGGGTCTCTGTCATCCAGGCTTGAGTGCAGTGGCACGATCACAGCTTGCCACAGCCTCAACCTTTTGTGCTCCAAGATCCTTCTACCTCAGCTTTCCAAGTAGCCGGGACTACAGGTGCCACCACGCCCAGGTAATTTTTTTTTAATAGAGACCAGGTCTTGCTATGTTGCCCAGACTGGCCTTGAACTCTTGAACTCTTGGGCTCAAGCAATCCTCTTACCTCAGCCTCCCAAAGTGCTGGGATTACAGGCATGAGCCAGCATGCCCGGCCGATTCTTTCTTTTTAAATCAGATTTTAAAATGATACCAGGTCTGTAGAGGTCAGTCCAATGCAAGGACAGAGAAAGAACCTCTGCTGCACGCTTTGGGAGGCACCCCGTTGCTGTAGCAGCAACTCTGTCTTTGGGTCAACCTGCCTTCTGATCTCTGTCCCCACTTACTAGCGCCCTGACCTTGAACAAGCATTGTTCTCCTTTCTTCCCTCTAATCTTTTTGTTGTGGCGCCAGACACATAACGGGGTTTACGTCTTGAGCGCTTTCAGGTGTGCGGCTCCTTGGTGCTGAGCACACCCACAGCGTCGTGCAGCCCTTCCCACCGTCCCTCTGTGGAACGCTGTGCCTTTCACGGAACTGAATCTCTGCACCCGTTCAGCAGCATGGAAGGGCCCTGCTCCGCCCCTCTGGCCCCGGCCCCCGCCTCTGTCCTTTCTGTGTCAGTGAGTTTGACCACCCTAGGTATCTCATACAAATGGAATCACAGAGCCTGTTCTTTTGTGACTGGCTTGTTTCTCTCAGCAGAACGCCCTCGGGGCTTGTCTGTGTGGTCATATTTGTCAGAATTTCCTTCCTTTTGGAGGCCGAATACTATTCCATTGTGTGCATAGACTGCGTTGTGCTTATCTGACAATCTGTTAATGGATACTTGGGTTGTGTCCACCTTGGCTTTTGTGAATAATGTGCTGTGAACACCGGAGTACAAATATCTGTTTGCGTTCCTACTTTCAGTTCTTTGAGTCTATACCGAGAAGTGGGATTGCCGGATCATTCTGTATGATCTGTTTTTAATGCTTTGAGGAACTTCCATTCTGTTTTCCACAGTGACTGTACCACCTTACATTCCCACCGATAGTGCACAAGGGTTCCAGTCTCTCTGCAATCTCACCAACACTTGATAGTTTCTGTTTTTATGTATTTATTTTTTTAATAGCCAACCTGTTGATATCTCATTTTTTGAAAAGAAATCCCTAATGGGTATTAGTTGTTTGTTGAGATATTGTCCTTTCCCCAGTGAATGATCTAGGCACCCTTGTCAAAAATTATTTGACCATCTCTATGAGGGTTTATTTCTGGGCTCTCCATTTTATTCCATTGGTCTGTATGTCTGTCTTTATGCCAGCACCACACTGTTTTGATTGTGGTAGCTTTGTAGTAAGTTCTGAAGTTAGAAATGTGAGTCCTCCGGCCTGTTTTTTTTGAGTTGGAGTCTCACTCTGTCGCCCAGACTGGAGTGCAGTGGCTGCTCCCGGCCACCACAGCCTCGACCTGCTGGGCTCCGGCGATCCTTCTGCCTCAGCCTTCCCGGTAGCTGGAACTACAGGCGCGCACTACCACACCCGCCTAATTTTTTGATTTATTGTAGAGATGAGGTCTCGCCAAGTTGCCCAGGCGGGTCTCGAATCCGCAGGCTCAGGCAATCCACTCACCTCAGCCTCCCAAAGCGCGGGATTACAGTGAGCCATCGAGCTCAGCCAGCCTGGTTCTTCTCAAGATCCTTTGGCTATTTGGCATCTCTTGAGATTCTGTGTGATATTTTTCCCCCCCAAGTTGAAGTCTCACCCCGTCGCCCAGGTTGGAGTACAGTGGCACGCCCACAGCCACCCCAGCATCGACATGCTGGGCTCAGGCAATCCTGCCGCCTCAGCCTTCCAAGTAGCTGGAACTACAGGCGCGTGCCACCATGCCCAGCTTATTTTTTTATTTTTTATTTTTTTATGGTAGAGATGAGGCCTTGCCAGGTTGCCCAGGCTGTTCTCAAACCCATGGACTCAGGCAATCTTCTCACCTCGGCCTCCTGAAGTGCTAGGATTACAGGCTTGAGCCACCGCGCCCAGCCTCTGTGTGAATTTTAGGAGTGACTTTTCTATTTCTGCAAAAAACTTTATTGGAATTTTAATATGGATTGCATTGAATCTGCAGCTCACTGTGGGTGGTATTGACTCCTTAACAATAGTTAGTCTTCCAGCCCATAAGCATGAGCCGTCTTGTCTTTTATCTATGTCTTCTTTCTTTTGGAAATGTTTAGTAGTTTTCTATGTATGGGTCTTCTACCTCCTCAGTTAATTCCTGTGTATTTTTCTCTTTTTGATGCTCTTGTAGTTGGGATTGTTTTATTAATTTCCTTTTCAGTTTGTCATGACTGTGTTGGAGCGCAACTTATTTTGCTTGTTAATTTTGCATCCCACTACTTTGCAGAATTTGTTGAACTCTGACAGTTTTTTTGGTATAATCTTTAGGGTCTTCTGTACGTAAAACAATATCTACAAAGAAAGATAATTTTACTTCTTTCTTCCCAGTGTGTGTGCTTTTATTTCTTTTCATTGCCTAAGTGCTCTCGTTGGAGCTCGTAGTGCTGTGTTAAGCAGAAGTGAGGAAAGCAGGAACCCTTGCCTCGTTTCTGACCTTTCAGTCTGTCGCTGTCGCGTGATGCTGGCTACAGGTTTTTCATACACGACCTTCACGAAATGGTGGCTTTCTCCTGTTCTTAGTTGTTGTCATGAGAGGGTGTTAAATTTTGTCAGATGCTTTTTCTGTATCAGTTAAGATGGTGGAGTGGTTTGTCCTTCATTCTGTTAACGTGTGGTATATGCTGATATGTTGAATGCATCCTCACGTTTCAGGAATAAATCCCGCTTGGTCCTGGCATATAATCCTATTGCTGCTGAATTTGATGTGCTCGTCTTCTGTTGAGAATTGTTGCATCAGTGTCCATAAGGGATATTGGTCTATAGTTTTCTTGTAGTGTCTGTCTGGCTTTAGTATCAGGGCAAGGCTGGCCTCATGGAATATTAGGAAGTATCCCTTCCTCTTCACTTTTTTGGGAAAATGTGAGGAGGCTTGGTCTTAGTTCTTCTTGAAATGTTCAGTCAAATTCGCCAATGAAGCCACCTGGTTCAGACTTTCTTTGTCAGGAGATTTGTTATGACTGATTTGGTCTCCTCACTAGTTATTATAAGTCTGCTTATATTTTCTCTTTCTTCATGAGTCAGTCTTGGTAGGTTTTGTTTCTAGAAATTTGTTCATTTCATCTGAATTTTCCAGTTTATTGGCGTAAAATTGCTCATAGTACTCTCTTATAATCCTTTTCATTTCATAATCATTAGTAATGTCCTTGCATTCTTTTCTGATTTTAGTAATTCAGAGTCTTTATTTTTTCTTCTTAATTTATCTAGCTAAAGGTTTGTCAATTCTGTTTATCTGTTTTCAAAGAACCAACTATTGGCTTGTCGATTTTCTCTATTTTTCTATTCTTTATTTTGTTTATTTCTGCTCTAATCTTTATTGCTTTCTTCTACTAGTTTTGCATTTAGCTTTTGTCCCGCTTAGTTCTTTAAATTGTCTACTTTTTTTTTTTTTGGATTTGGAGTCTCACTTTGTCGCCCAGGTTGGAGTGCAGTGGCATGCCCATGGCCACCACAGGCTCAATCTGCTGGCTCAGACCATCCTTTCTTCCACCTTAGTTTTCCAAGTAGCTGGAACTACAGGCACCTGCTACCATGCCCATCTAATTTATTTTTATTTATTATAGAGACCGAGGTCTCAAACCTCTGGGCTCAGGCATTCCTCTCGCCTCAGCCTCCCCAAATGCTGGGATTACAGGCTTGAGCCATCACTCCTGGCCTAGGATCTTTTTTAAATATAAGCATTTATAACTATAAATCTGCCTGTTAGCACAGTTATCACTGCATTGAAAAAAGTTTTGGACTGTTGTGTTTTCATTTTCATTTGTCTCAAAATGTTTTCTAATTTGCCTTGTGATTTCTTCTTTGACTCATTGGTTGGGAGTGTGTTGTTTAATTTTCCCAGACTTGTGAATTTTTCAGTTTTCCTTCTGTTATTTATTTCTTACTTTATCCCATTGTAGCTGGAAAAGATAATTTTTTTAAAACATTGAGAGATGGGGTCTCACTCTGTCACCCATGCTGAAGTGCAGTTGTACAATCATAGCTCACTGTAGCCTCCAACTCCTGGATTCAAGCAATCCTGCTTCTGTTATAGCCAAAGTACAAGAAAGAAGTTGCCAACATGCAGAGTCAGATTTGAGTCCTTTGTTAGCCAGCAGTCAAGAGCAGGCTAGTGCCACAAAGAATTCTCGCCCCGAACAGAGTGAGCAGGGGGTTTATAAAGGCAAAAACCACAAAAACTG